ACGTGAGTTTCACATATTATGGCTGATGGATAGAGCTTATGACTCACTTTTTATTAATGAGGGTCTTATTCACAAATTATATTTTACTTTTTACACTCCTTTCTTAACTACGTAAACACTCTTCAAAATTTTTAAATGGTGAAATTTATTTTTTACACACTTTTGTTATTTTAAAATTAACCTTAACTATTTAAATAAAGATTAATTTTAGACAATTTTATTTTTCTCTTCACACTTACCATTTTATTTTAAAAATGTAAAATAAAATGATACAAGTAAATAAAAAAAAGAAAAATAAACAATTCAAATAGAAAAAACCGCAAAACAACTCAAAAATAATAAATAAGTTAAACGAAACGGTAACATAATTATATTATACGAATATGTACAATGATCACCAATGGCAAACTGGTGAAAAAAATGCAAAACCTGTTAAAAAGCATATGAGCAAAAAGAATGAAAAAAAAAAAAAAAAAAACCAGCAATCAGCTTAAGTTTATAAAAAAAAAAACGAAATAATTAGTCTTAAAAAATGAAATGATTAGCAAAAGAGATATAAACACTAGACGAGAAAAAAGTAAATAAATACATACAATAAATAGAAAAAATTAACGTATATGAATTTTAAATAAACACATGCAAAATAACATAAGCTTATAATTTAGAGATATGACATGTGGGGTGCAGAGAGGGGGAAAAAAAAAAGAAAAAACCCTAGCTATAATTGGATTTTTTTGTAATACAGTTAATTATGTATTTGTCTATTATAATTGTCTTTTTTTGTCATTTTATGTGAAAGTTTTATTATAATAAGAAATTTCAATTGAAATAGAAGTGTGGAGAAAATAATAGGATGTGAGTAGAATCACTCTTTTAGTAATTGTGTTGTTTGACAGTATTGATGTTCTTCATAATTTTTACAGTATTCATCATCCGTTATATAATGCATTAAAAATAACTACATATTTATTAAACACCAATTGAGCTAGTTTTAATTACTCATGTTGTACCAATATAAAATAAAATAATTAAAATTAGTGCTTTTTTAATTTTTTTTTCCGTTACTGCAATAAAAGAATTACCCATATATTGATATTTAAAGGGTTTTATTCTACTCAAAAGTTAAAAGTAAAAAATAAAAATAAAAGACAGCGTTTTATGCGGTCCAATTAAAAGGAAGTATAAAGGCCCCGTTTATTTTATTAATTCGAGTTTAGAATTTAAATTTTGCTACAGTAAAAAGCTCTTATAAATAATTACATTTGACTTTTTTACTACAGTAAAAAGTTTTCATATAAAATTACATCTTAATTCGAATTAAAAATTTGAATCAGCGAAGTGAACGGGACTAAAAAGTTAAACCAAGAACTGAAAAGAGGCATTATCCACTTTTTCGGCCCCCAACTCTGGTCCCAAGAACCTCGGACGAAGTAACTCTTAAATGGACCCCACAAAAACTGCCAAAATGAGCAAAAACTCAGAATTCAAGGGAAAAGCCCATGTGGCAATGCGTTGATAAGTCACTGTCTGCCATGTGGCAGCAGGTGCCAGCGTGGAAAAGCAACAGTGGTTTCCAGCTGGCAGTTAGAGATTATGGGAAGAAGAACCTATTATTATGGTGGGTCCCTCCTTGTAGGGTATTTCTGCTATTATTCTGTTGTTTTTTGTTTTTTTTTTTCAAATAAAAGTAGAGAGAATTCAAATTATAATTCAAGTCTTATTATTAAAGTATTTTTTTATAAAAATTTAAATTTAATTTTTTTATATATATAATTTAAATTATTACTTGAATTGTGTAAATAAATATATTCTTGAATTTTTGAGTTAAAATTTGAAAACAGATTGTACATTTACTATTAAGTTATATGTACAACAACTACTAGTAGTGTATTTTTTTATTTTTTGATAAACATGTATTTCTTAACATTATGCTTTTAGCAAAATCATATCAAAATAGCATTACATGAACGGTCCAATATAAAAAGGGTATTTTATAGTTTTGAGTTTATTATTTTATCAAATTTTATTGAGGTTATATAGACTCTTATTATATGCCAAATAAAATATCTCTCTTTTTCTTCTTCGTCTTTTTTTTTAATAGAAGATAGAATATCTCTTTTTTTTTTTTCTTTTTAACGTATCACTATTGGTAATACAGTACCTTCTGCCTGGTATACATGTGAGGATGCATCACTAACAATGTTCTGTTATTGTTTTTATAAGAAGATTTATATTATCGAACGTGCAAAAACAAACTATCAATAGGTTTTTATTTTTTAGCAGTTAAATATGTATAAAAAATCGTATATTTGACATACTTTTTCATTTTCATTAAATATAATATTGTGTATTTTTTTCATTTTAAAATGTTTAGAACATATTTGTTTCATGAATTAAAATTATTTTTTATTTATATATATTTTTTATAAAAAAAAATACTGTAACAAATTATAAATTATAATTTAAATCAGAGAATGAATACTCTAACTAATGCTATACTACTGCTAGTATAAGAACCTACTATAAAACCATATTTTTTTAAAAACAAAAAAAAAATAAAAAAAGCTCTATTATTTTAGAGTTGGGGGTTGTGCTAGCTAGAATTTGTAGGGCACATATAAAGGAGGTGGAGGACCGGGTCCACCAGCAATAGCCAGGCTGTTATTTGTCTGTAAAATGACTTGCACACTCGGACAAGCAGTGGAATAGCGGCAGAAACTTGCAGGTCACCTTTTTCAATTCGGCCGTTCGCTTATTCAAATTTTTAATTCAATTAATTTGTTAATTTGAGTTTTTAATTTGAATTGAGATATAATTTTATATGAAAATTTTTTACTGTAATAAAAAAATTAGATGTGATTATTTGTGAAAACTTTTTACTGTAGCAAAACTCAAATTCTAAACTCGAATTAACAAAATGAACAAGTCTTCTTCTATTCAAATTTTTAAAATTTTTTTTTCTTTTTATTCTGAATTTATTTATTTATTTATATTGCTTTGACAGCCGGCATTTCCACAACACGACACGCATACTTCTTGGATTTATTTTGTTTTTCACGGTTCTTCTTTGCCCAATAATTCTCTTCTCTTAGCTCACTTAGATCCCGTTTAATTCACTTATTTAAATTTTTAATTTGAATTAAGATATAATTTTTTATGTGAAAAATTTTTATTATAATAAAAAAATTAAATATGATTATTTTTTAAAGTTTTTTGCTGTAATAAAACTTAAATTTTAAACTCTATTCGGTAAAATTAATGGGGACGTTTATTTCTTATATTCGTCCCTGATTCTGAATCATGATTAATGGTTCTCTACAGTGTTTTTTCTCACAAAAAATATATGTAAAATGAGAATGATTCTGAATCATAATTCTGAATACATAAACCAAACGTCACCTTATTCTTTTAAAAAGTTCCATGAATTCCTTTTTACCAAAATACCCTTTTATCATTTGTTGTTTTCCTTTGAAAAATCTTTTTTTGAGTGTTCTTTTTTAGAGCCTTCATTATTGGTTTTTGGTTTTATAATTATAAAAAAAAGGGTCTTCTTTCTATTATTGTCTTTCCGTTTTGCCTAACTATATAGTGTAATAACATGACATTAATAATATTAATAAGTACTCTTTTAAAAAAAGTAGATATTTAAGGAAGATATCAAAGAGGTTGACTTAAAAGTTTCAGTTATGAGATATTTTCTTTAATATTTAAGAACATGAAGAAACAAAGAATTAATTAAAAAAATTGTAGTTATATTTTACAAAATTGTACTATACAATATTTCAACTCAAAGTTTTTTATTTACATTGATAAAGTAAATTCTTTTTTATTACAATGCTAGCGGCAAGGCAAATATTAATGGCATTTTAAATGCATTCCAATAGGAAAAAAAAAAAAAAAAAAAAAAAAAAAAAAAAAAAGGGAAAGAAAGATCTTGGAAGGAAAGAATTTAAGAATATAAGGTTTTATTAATGGACGCATTTCCCCACTTTATCCACATTTTATAATGATACTAATAGAGAGATGCTCTATAATCATTCATAATTTCACCAGAAAATTTACTTTAAATGTTATATAGATTTTAAACATATGGAACTAATCACTTCCATAAAAGAAACAACAAAACATAGGACTTAATTGTCATTATAATCTAGACAAACAATCTTAGTTTTATCCTCCGAAACATTATAAAAGTTTTATTAGGATAGGGTTGTCTAACAAAAAAAAAAAACATAGAGCTATTAAACAAACAACACACCAAATACAAAATTCTACTAGAATATAACACTAATAATAATAATAATAATAATAATAATAATAATAATAATAATAATAATAATAATAATAATATTTACAACAGTAATAGCAAAAATTCTCAATAAATCTGTATTGCATAGATCTGAATTGTCTTATTTAAATTAATATTAGATTTGATTAGTAAAAAAATTTAATATTTCTTTTTATTTTGATAGTAATTTGATTTAATTTACAGTAAAAGGACGTAGGATAACAAAAAAAAAAATTGTTATAATTGAGAATTGTTTTGGACTGTTTTATTTTAATGTGGTCTGATTATGTTAGAGATACATTTTGTCACAACATTCTAATCGCAGAAATTCTTCTTTCATAATAAAAAGAAGTTCTTTTCACATGTTACGTTGAAGTCCCTACACAGACAAGACTATTAAAAAAATGTCAGCCAAAAAAAAAAGAAAAGACTTTTACAGTTTTTTTATTAAAAAAAATAAAAAACAGAGAGCTTCTTCCATTTGGTCGTAATAATACAAATATATATAAATAATACAAACGCGTACAGCACTAATCAGAACTTCGCGTTCCCGCCGCCTGTTTTCTTTCTCTCCTTCTTCTGACAGCTCTCTCTCTCCTCTTTCTCTCTCTTCTGTCCTCCTTCTCAGTTCTTTCTCTCTCTAAAAAGCTCCTAAAAAACCTCTCTTTCTCTCAAGCTAAAAGCCGGGTTCTTCTTGTTTTCTCTTCAACATTACAAAGAACAAAACGTTTTTAGTAATTTTTTCTTAGGCTATGGCGAAGAAGAAGAAGATTTCTTACATTTCTGTCCCTTCTCAGATAATAAGCTCCTTATCTTCATCTTCTCTCCAATCTCTTCTCGTTTCTCCCACAAAAAAATCTTCATCTTTTTCTTTTTCGTTCTCAAAGACCAATATTTTTAAGCTATTTTCGAGCTTCTCAAGGACCCCAAGATTCTGGTTCTTGACAATCTTCATTTTCTGTCTTCTGGGCATGCTCAAACTCGGCTTAAATCTCGAGCCTTTATCTCCATGTCTAACAACTCAACAACAAAACCAGCAACACCAAATGGGTCTAATCCCAAATGGGGGGTTCACCAAAAATGACAAGCTAATGGCTGTCGTTTCGAGCGAGGAGAGAGACAGCAGGTTGTCGGAGACCAAGATGGTGGAAGAAAACGACGAGAGAAAGAGTGAGTTTTGGAAGCAGCCGAATGGGATGGGATATAGGCCGTGTTTGGGGTTCAGCCAGGAGTATAGAAAGGCAAGTGAAAGGATTGTAAACGACAGGAGAAAGTACCTGATTGTTGTCGTTAATGGTGGGATGAACCAGCAGAGGAATCAGATTGTTGATGCCGTTGTTATTGCCAGGATTCTTGGTGCTGCTCTTGTCGTTCCCGTTTTGCAAGTCAACGTCATTTGGGGAGATGAGAGGTAAGTTGTACAAAAACGATACCACAAAAAAAAAATCTACTTTCTATTTTAGCTCTTCTTTTAGTTTTCTGGGTTGGTTTTGTTGTTGGAATCCTTTTGATGTTTAGTGCTTTGATTTTGAGTTTTTGGTCCTTAATGTGTATTTTATTGTGTTTAGTTTTGGGTTATAAGTAAATGAACACTTTTGATGTGTTTTTGTTTTCATGATTTTAGAATCCTTTTGATGTCTTCATTTTCAGTTTTTGGTCCTTAATGTGTAATTTTTTGTTTATTTATTTTTTTGTTGGGGTTAAATAAGTTATGTTTTGCTTGTTAATTACTTTTTCAAGCTATGGTATTTACTATAGTTTCTTTCAGTGGAACACTTTTGGTGTGTTTTTGTTTTTGTTGGGTTTAATTAGTTTCCTATTTAGTTTTATGGGTTCCTTAAAAATCGATGTTTGCCCCTAATAATGTTGGAAAATTACTTTGTTTATTTCGTTGGAATCTTCTATGTTTTAGATTCCTTTTGATGCGTTACTTATTTTTTTTTATGAACAATTTTTGGAGATTAATATCTGTTTTCTCTGTTTTGTTCCGTTGTTTGCAGTGAGTTCTCTGATATATTTGACTTGGACCACTTCAAGAGAGTTCTTGCAGATGACGTGCGTGTGGTCTCGTCGCTGCCGTCGACGCATATCATGACACGGCCTGTGGAAGAGAAGCGGACTCCGCTTCACGCCTCCCCCAATTGGATTCGATCCCGCTATCTAAAACGAGTAAGATTATTATTTCGCGCTATCTTTCCTTTTCTCGATTGATTCGGGCTAGTTAGAATCATCGGCGTGATAGAAGTAATGGATAAGGAAATGTTTCCCTCTGTTACTAGTGTTGGTTTGTTATTAGGCATCAATGTCCCACACCTTGTTATTTGGTTATTTGAGTTTGAAGCTACTTTGGTGTGGGCCTTGTGACCTTGTTCTTTAGCTTATATGTGGTTAAGAGCTAGTTTGTTTTGTTTGTTGGTCCCATTTTTAGTTCTATTTTTGTTAGTGCTTATGATTTCTTTGGCACGAAAACAGTTTAGCAGGTGCTAATTCGCATTCTTTTTTGCAGATCAACAGGGATGGAGTTTTGCTTTTACGGGGTCTTGATTCAAGACTCTCTACGGATCTTCCTTCTGATCTTCAGAAGCTTCGTTGTAAGGTATAGCACAACACATACAAAAATTTGAGTATTGTTTTGTCACCATAAAAATCTTCGAGTTTTAAGTCCTTATGATCTTGTGTTCGTGTGGTTTTAGGTTGCGTTTCATGCATTGAGGTTTGCCCCACCCATATTGGTACTCGGTAACAAGCTAGCGGAGAGGATGCGGAGCAAAGGACCTTACCTTGCCCTGCACCTCCGAATGGAGAAGGATGTGTGGGTGAGGACCGGTTGTCTTCCTGGTTTAAGCCCCGAATTTGATGAGATAGTGAACTACGAGAGGAAACGGCGACCTGAACTCCTAACTGCGAGATCTAACATGACTTACCATGACAGAAAGCTCGCAGGTCTTTGTCCTTTGAATGCCTTGGAAGTGACTAGGTAAGAATTCACATTTGACTTGTGAATATATCTTTTCTAATCATAAATTGGTACTAAAAGTTTTCTTTGGATCAAGTCCTTGTGATTAATGTGTTTGTCATATGTTTTTAGACTGCTTAAAGCCCTAGGAGCTCCAAGAAATGCAAGAATATACTGGGCTGGTGGGCAACCACTAGGTGGAAATGAAGCTTTGCTACCGTTAACACGCGAATTCCCAAACTTCTACAACAAGGAAGATCTTGCTTTGCCCGGGGAGCTAGAACCATTCGCTAATCGAGCTTCGGTCAAGGCAGCTATTGACTATATTGTCTCTGAGAATAGTGATGTGTTCATGCCTTCTCATGGGGGAAATATGGGCCATGCCATCCAGGTACAGTCACCATCAACAACTTTTCATAACTTGTTAACCATTTGTTTGCTTAATAAAATGCTTTTGAAAAATAAAGGAAATGAGTATTCCATAAAATTTGTGTAGCTGTAATTCTGATAGTCTAATTTAGAGGATAGAAGAGTCTTTGCGACCTTCGAAAGTGCCCCTTAAACTTCTCGTCGATTAGCACTTTCGTTCTTGAAATCTTTTTTCTTCGTAATTTTGCCCTTAAATTTACAAAATAGTCTAGTCCGTGAATAGGTTTATGCTTGTATACTTATCGAGTGCTCCTCAAAATTTATCATGGGTTGACACTTTTGTCCTTGAAATTTTTTTTATTGGTAATTTAGTCCTTTAATTTTCAAAAGAGTAGCAATTAACTCTCTTCTTACCAAGTGGGATTTAATCTTTTGTGCAGGGTCACAGAGCCTATGCAGGGCACAAGAAGTACATAACTCCAAACAAAAGACAAATGCTTCCTCATTTTCTAAACTCTTCTCTTCCAGAAGCAGAGTTCAAGAGGATCATAAAGTTTTTGCACCACGAGTCCTTAGGACAGCCGGAACACAGGACAAGCAAAACCGGAAGGGATGTCACAAAGTATCCTGTCCCCGAGTGCATGTGCAACGATTCCCACGCTCATTCGCGCTCGTGAGTTTGTTGCCAAAGGCATTCCAACAATGATACTACTACTTGGTCTGCAACAAGAAATGCTTCCAGGATAATCTATTCTAGACCATATTTTGTGAATTCCATTGGATTGGAGCCCCATTGATGACGAGCGGTACCTCTTTGGGGCGATGACTATTCGTTGAGCGTCTGAATTTTTTTCATGGCCGGTTCTTGCCATCACCCTTTCTTCGCAAGTTCACTCGGTATTACATGAAATTATTTCTTGTGAGGCAAGATTGGAACACCATGAAAGGACAGTAAAGTAGATGATAGAGTTCATTCTTTAATTCTTTATATAGAAGGAATAAAATTATTACACGGTATTACAGGGTTTTTTTTTTTTTTTCCTTTTATTTAATTCTTTGTTCTGAGTCTACAACTATGTATTATAGAACGTATATATATATATATATATAATGTATACGTGTAAGTGTATAGTTTTGTATGCTGTGTATAATCATGGCAAGTTACCAATAATCTCTCTTCTGGTCTTGTTCATGAGTTTCTCTTGTGTTTTATAAGTAATCGCAATGGCTGCCAGAGAATGAAAATAATAGAATTATTAGATAGCGGAAAAAAGGAAAAAAAAAAATATTAGCATAGCATAAGTTTAGACCTTCATATCTTCAACTCAATAAGTTTGCGTTGTTATTTACCTTTTTCGATTGTGATAAATCTAACGGTTTAGCGGTCTCGAATTGCGAACTGCTAATAAAGAGGATATGTTATGCCAAGTGCAGAACCACAAACAATAGAGTTACGTTGCGTATGGTACGAGGGTTTTACAATCGAAATTATGACTTTGGTTCAACCTTTTGTTTATTTACAAAATGTAAAAAATAATTCTTAAAAATTAGTGTTTGATTTAGATATTTCTATTTTAGATTTAAATCTTGATGTAATGTTTTAAATTAAAACCATTCTAAACAATAAAATCACCTCCCTTTAATTTTGAATGATTCAAACCTCTGATTCTGATTTTAATTCCAGAACTATAGTTTAGACTCAAAAGTTCAAATTATAATCATGATTCTAATTCTAAAATTAAAACCATTCTAATTTAAACCCTCATACTAAATGCAATCTTAGAGGACGTCTAGTTCATGAATTCAGAATTATTCTCGTTTTCTGTATATTTTTTGTGAGAGAAAATACTGTAACGAATCACGAACCAATAAAAGAAAACATGTGAGAATTAACTAAGAAGCATCATTCAGGTTGCAACTTCCATTGCCACTCAAAACTCAAAACTCAAAACCAGTGTAGCCAAATAACATAAACTTGCAAGGATAATAAAACCTTTACATTTCCAATCAATCATGAAAAATGGGTGGTTGTTTTATACATACAAAACCAATAATCAGAACAAAAAAGAAAAAAAGGGTAAAATGACAGTTCCCATCTAGAATTTCCTCATATAGCACTTTTAGCTGGCATAGACACTCTTAAGAGCCAATACTGCAAATTTTAGCTGGTAAGATTGTGAAATAATTATTGAAGAAAAAGTTGAGCATTACATCAAATCAGAATTATCAGATAATGAACCACAGAAAGAATTCCTAACTTTAATAATTAGTAGTAAGCCTCATGCCAAAAGGGCTTGCTCTCTCTGGTTGCTTGCAAGCAAACGAAACGTCTAATTCGCGATCCGGAGCACTGAATATGAATTCCTCTCCGGTACAAAACTTGACTGGTGCAGCGAAGTCCTGATCACTCCGTTGCTCCCGAAAAGAATCTGTATATACTTTACTAGAGTTTACCTAATTGGAAGAGAATCTGTTCCAATTAATCTCAAAAAAAAAAAAAAAAAAAAAAAAAATTTGTCTTGTTGGCAGTAACTACTGCACCTCTAAGATCCTCCATGGAAGAATGTATTCATCGTGGACCAGAGGCTTTAACAACCAAAATAACCTGTCTTATGGCAAATTTCTGTGAAGCCTCTGCAAATACACAGAAATGGCTATAAAACCTCTGTCAAGCAGGAAGATGCCTCTTTTACAGGGTGCGGCCAAAAAGGCGAAAGTGCGACCACTTTCCCAATGATGATCAGTGTAGGAGAAACCAACTCTACCGACGCAATCTCACCGGCAAGATCCTTCAATTCCGCAAAGGCCTGCATTTTCCCCCAAAATGACAATGGTACCATTATCGGAGCCTAAAACAAGCTTTGATTTGCATAGGAAATTTTCAATGCAAAGGTATTCAGTATAATTACTACAAGTTATAAAGAAGTTACCACAAGTTCAAGTGGTTTGTCCAAATTCAAATAAGAAATGATATTGCAGCTTAAAAATGCATGTCCTTGTTATTTATTTATTTATTTCAATATTGCAATACAACATATCTGATTACAACAAGAGTGGAAAATGATGCTAACATAATAATCCCAGAGCCACATTTTAAAGGGTTGTTTGGAAGTTGTACTCAAACCCAAATCATGATTCTGCTACAGTGTTTTGTATCTCACAGAGTTTGAATTCTAAAATTTTCTCTCACAAAGTTCCTATCAATGAGCCCAAATCATGATTTGAGTATACCTTCGAAAGGGCCCTTAATTGATTTTATTCCAAATCATTAAACAAATCAGATCAATTTTTGAAGTTTTTTGAGGTATAGCTTCACCACAGTGCTCAAAATACTCGATATTTGGCTTCCTTGTGGAATTCTATAACTAAGATGTTCAGGTATCTGCCTAATGGACCTTTGTATTTCTTATTTGTTTTCCTTTGTGCACAACTTGTCCTTTTGTAAATCTTTTTTATCTCAGAACTTATGTTTTTAAAAAGGAAAAGAAAAATACACAATTACTTAGACAAGGACCATGCTTACCATGCGTTGTTGAGGCGTGGTGCCTCGTTCCACTGCAACAGCCGGCGTGTTTGATGGCAGACCGTGATGCATCAACTTTAATGCAAGAGAAGGGAGAGTCGACAAACCCATATAAACCACCAAGGTCGTATCAGGGTCGGCTGCATTCTCTGCTACAAACAGAGGATCTGTTCCTCCCTTCCTCGAGTGTCCCGTGAGGAATCTGACACTGTTTGCCATACCTCGTTGAGTCAATGGAATCCCCAGCTCCGCAGCTATTCCTGAAGCAGCAGTGATTCCTACAAAACAAGGAACATTAGAATCACGTAATGCATTTAATCTCAGATCAAGGTACAAAGAAGCAGCTTTCCAAAAAACAAAAATTCACACAAAAGTGTCCAGAGTTCTTAGGCACTTGGAAGAGCAACCACTCCCCAACTGGGGTGGAAAAAGAGTTCTAACATCCTTGCATCTACAGTAGCGACCTGTTTGTTTATTCTTTCGCAAAGAAATATGGGAGGTTTTAACTGTTCTGTGGAAATCCAATTTCCTATTAGTTTCTTTTCACTGCCAATCTCATCCCGGTTCTGAATGTGTGGTAGTCTACGTGATACGGTGAAGAGAGAAGAAAGTGTTGCAGTGACTAAGGCAAATTGTACAACACAGGGTCCTTTCTTCTTATGACTTGAATGAAAAAGAAAAGATTGCTAAGCTATTGACAACGCAACTATCCTAAAAACTTGAATTTATGAACATTATGAACATTTTATGTCACAACTGTTTCTATTCAAAGCCATGGCAAATATGTCATGCATGTAATGAATTTAAATATGAGTTCAACTAAATAATGGAATTTAGAATAATAATTTTCCAAAGCTAAATACCTGGAATAACTTTAACTTGAATCCCTTGTTGTTGCAGAAAATCCATTTCCTCTCCACCCCTCCCAAACACCTAATGACACAAAATTAGATGTTATAGAAAACTATACACATTGAATTATAACAGGAAAAATATCTAATAAACTAAAGGCTCCAAATAATATGTCATTGCTTACCAGTGGATCCCCTCCTTTAAGTCTGACAACAGTAGCCCCAGCTTCAGCAAAACTCAATAGCAATTCATGTATCTCCTCCTGAAAAACCATTTAAAAAAATTAATATTTATTCACTTTCCTAATTCAAGAAATTCTCAACTGCCAAAACTGCATGTGCAATCAAATCAATAGATCAAGAGAACCTAAATCCCAATAATAATCAACATTATGCAATAAAAAAACACTAATCAAAATAGAAATCAAACACCATTCCAAAAAAGAAGGGAAAAAATTACCAGGGTTCTGCTATGATACCAAGCTAATCACATTTTGCAATCAGAAACCAAAACGCCCCCCAAAAGGATTAAAATTTAATAGTTACCCAGAAACCCATCTCAGAAATACTTAGAAATAAAAAAAAAATCTTAAAAAAAAAAAAAAAAAAAACTTGGTTCTCAATCAAATACCCAAAAAATGGAAATATAAAAGATTGACCAACAAACCCATCTCAGAAATCTACTCAGAAATCAAACACAAATCTCAAAAAAAGAAAATGCAAAAAACTTTACCTGGGTTCTGCTATGGTAGCCAGCAGTTTTCCCAACATAAAGAAGCTTAGCATCACCACCAACCAAATCCAAAACATCATTCGACACCAACCGATCATACAACAACAAATCAGCGCCCTTTATCACTCTCACCGCCTTCATCGTCAGAAGCTCCGGGTCCCCCGGCCCTGTCCCCACCAAGAACACATTCCCGGGCCAACACCCTTCACCGTCACCCTCACCACACCCTCCTCTCTCTCGCCTCTTCTCTCTCAGCACGCCAAGGAGCTTCTTCAGCTCCGGCAGCTGCAACGCGATGTCGTTTTCTCTCGCCGAGTCGAAATCCGGTGAAGAAATGGGTTGTTGTTGCTGTTGTTGGTTCTGGTAGATCCATTGGTCTCTCTGGTATCTTTCGATGGAATGTTTTTCTGTGAAGGGAGAAGAAGAATGGAGGTGGAGAGAGGAAATGGGTTTTGGGTTAAAGTGGGTGCGGGTTCCGAAATGGGGTGTAGCGGGAGATTGGAATTGAAGCTTGTGCACAAGAGCCATTGTAGAAAGTCTGTGCCTTGTGCTTGTGGGGTTTGTGTATTTGGGTATGTATATATAGTTTATATATGTGTGAATATATATATATATATATAGAGAGAGAGAGAGTATAGAGAGAGAGAGAGAGAGTATATATATATATATATATAGAGAGAGAGAGAGAGAGAGAGAGAGAGAGAGAGAGTTTGTGTTTGGTTTGGAGTTTTGGTGTAGGAGTTGTGCTGGGACTCTTGGGGGGGATGAGGAGGCGCAGGAGGTCGATTAGAGTAGCTTCTTGGAGCTTAAAAGAGACAACTTTTGTTTTGTTTTGTTTTTTAATTTTTTTTTACTGCCTTGGAGAGAGACGGTTTTGTCTCTTTCCTTATCTCTCACTCTTTTTTTCTTAGATTATTCTCAGTTATCTTGAATTTTAAATTTTAAGATCATTTTTAATTTATTTTTTAAATTTTTATAAGTCTCACTATATTCTTTAAATTTTAAATTGTTTTAATTTAACTTTTTTAATCTTAATTTCTGTTAAAATTAGAATGAAAAAGGAAGGTTAAGAGTGGTCACGTTATTTTTATCTATTTTTTTAACAGAAATTTAAACAAAAAATTTATGTGATTGTGTTATTCTTTTTTTATCTGATTTTAACAAAAATTGTAACAAAAAAGATTAAGTAAAAATAATTAAAAGTTCAAGAGATAAAATGAGAGTTTTTAAAATTTAAAAATTAAATTAAAAATAAATCTAAAATTTAAAGACATTAGTGATAATAATTTTTTTTTTTTTTTTAATAAAATCTGAAAGTGCTCCTTTTAGCAAGAAAAATGACGACACAACGTGGGTACCTCCTGCTAAAACAAAACCCGAGCTTGAATTCTTACAAGCCCATTTACAAAATTCAAGAGCAATTGAATTGTTGGATCTACGGATCCACTCGAAGGAAATAAAGCCGAAACAAGAGACAAAAAATCTACTAAACTAGTACACCACCGTTCAGAACAAGACTTATAATCTTGTTCAAAATGTCAAAACTTGTCTTCAGGTCACTTGCCACAGAAATCGCTTACCACCCTTGCTCCTCGCTGCAAGGACTCGTTCATTTTGTTGATTCGAGTTTGTAATTCGAGTTAAGATGTGATTTTATGTGAGAGTTTTTTACTATAGCAAAAAAGTTAGATGTGACTGTTTCTGATAACTTTTTACTGTAGCAAAACTCAAATTCTAAACTCGAATCGGTGAAGTAAACGGAGCCTAGAGCTTCTCTGATTGCTGACAATTCCGCATGAAGAACATACATGGAGCTCAAGTGATTGCAGTGAAGTAGATGCACAGCCTCGGCTCTCTCCACGCCGAACGTGCGGCTTTTTGTGGTCCCACCACAGTGTGTTTTAAAATTAGTTAATTTAAATAATCACATTATATATTTTGAGTGATATTAATTCTCAATAATTCATATTATCTTGCAAATATTGCAAGGATGACGCGGAGACTCATTGACCTATAATTTCGAACATCAATAAAATTAATAATTAATTAAACTCTTTAATTATTAATTAATTCTATTAATTTCATAAGTTATTCTAGTAAAAACTTAAATTACACTCTTGAATTTCTAGACATAATTTACTCTTAAAAACTTTTGATTTAGTCACTACATAAATCAATCCTCTATAAATAATTCATAATTAAAGATAGGTGAAATCCGTTAACCTCTCTAATTACATCTTTATCCTTGAGTACTATTGGTTCTCTAATGACTAGTATATTCATAAAATAAATTCATAAATACGAACTCGTTATTTATTCAAGTATATTACTTTTCATAAACATACTTGAAATCATAAATAACATAAGAAAATAATTAAAATAAAAATTTTTAAACTTTAATTCAACAAAAATTTCATTCCTCATAAATATTTACACAAGTAACTTTTCTTTGAAGCTTCAAAAGATAGCTGCTTCACAAAACAAGGTTTATGTATTGCGATGTGATCTGGAGTAGCCCTAGCAACCTTTTCATCATTTACAATATTATTTACAACCTAACTTGCATATCCCAAGAACTACAGTGAGCCAGGGCTCAATAAGTAAAAATCATGTATAAGATTATGCTTATATTTTTATATTATAATCATGAGATCTACGTGAAATGCTATAGTCTCATGAAACATTTAATCAAATTATTTTTCTGGTCCTAAAGAAACCTTAATCATATTAAGCCAGTAGTGATTAATTTTCGTGCTTCCGCGACATTTGTTTCGATTAATCTTTGACGACGAATCGTGTGGGTCAACAAATGATGACTCTCCTTTCATATGTCCAAACTTGCAGACTTAGTCCTTTTATATGCCTAATTACATGCAGGCTTATTTCAAAACCGTGCATGCCATGCATTGTTGAAAATATTTTTCATGAATACATGATCATATCTACAATAATTTTATTGTCTATGCATACAGTCAGTGACGGGACCAGCCTTTCACTTTAGTAGATGTGTATATTAAAATTTGTTTAATAAATTATCTTAGTGAGGGTATATAAGAAAATATATTTATTTTAGTGGGGGCATATATTATTTCAATTGGAGCTTAAGTATAAAATTTTAAAATTTTTAAAAGTAATATTTTTTTAAAAAAAATTTGAATGGGGGCGGTAGCCCCCATTGAACTGTACTTAAATCCACCACTGGATGCAGTTCATAAATAATTAGTAATTAGTAATTACAAACATCTTTAATCATAAGAATAACATTTAGAAAATAAAGCTTAGAAAATTTTGCTCGTTAAATGCTCAACGTACCTTTAATTAATGTGCTTCCTAAACTTTTGGTTTTAATATTAATGGGTGACCCGGTCACTAAGGTATTCAATAACATATAAAGTAATACACTCTTTTAGAAAATCGTGTGTGTACATATATATAAGCTCTTATATAATGATGTCAACAAACAAATTTATCAGACTACTACTATCCATAAACTTTAAAAATACGTTGAGACTTGTATATAATTTGTGTTATAGATATTATAAATATTTTAAGACTTGAATATAATTCTGAGAATAAATGAAATTTGCCACAAATCTGATTCTATGATATATATATATATAGATATATATATATGTATATAGATATATATATATATATATATATATATATACGCGCGCATATATATATATATGTATATGATATTCTTATACATGTAAATGACTTAGAAATAGATACACACTATATTCATGTTGGGACAAGCAACATCCATATATGAATACATCATAAACATATATTATATATGGAAATGCATAAAACAACTAAGCACTAATACTACAACAAAAAAAAATATTAGAAATATTACCTCTTAAATTATAACAGATTAAGCAAAATAAAAAAGGGGGTTCAAAGTTGGCTTTCATAACTTACTTTTATGTATATCTTCAAACAGGAGAAGAATGAAGAAGCCGAAGAGAACTGAAGGGCGACTTCTAAGATAAGATTGAAAAATGAGGATAAACATTCTTAGTAATAAGAAAATATAGTATTTTCTCATACAGGATTGAGTAGGCCTTTAATTAGAAGTTAAAGATATGCATAAAATTATTAAAATATACTACAATAATATAGGTAGACCAAACATAGATAATATTTTTATCTAGTAAAATATTGAACATATTTCTAACAAAAATTTAACAGTAAAGCTTAACATATATATTGACCAGGTCACGTGGTACATAATGATGGGTCACTCAAATTACGAAAAATATAAGAAGTAGATTCAAGACATGGCGTTATATATAAAAATGGGAAAATTTTATTTATTATCTTGTGTTATATATCAAAATATGAGTTTAGTATCTTATATTTTTTATAAATATCAAATAGGCACTTTAACTTTAAAAAAATATTCTTTTAGTACTAAAAGTAAAATTGTGCTTATTCAGACTTAAAGTAAATAATATCATATTAAGTGAATGTATAGATCATTAAAAATGATATTAGAGTCTGTACCTAACCGGAAATGTGGCTAACGGAGATGTTGGGCTCTCAAAAGGAGGGAAAATTATGATAATTAACAATCTCTTGAGATAAAATGATCAATATAGAGTAAATTGTGTAATCTCACGTTACTTGATAAAGGTTAAAGGTAATGGTTTGTAAGAAAAGTCACCGCCTTCTAATAGCACGCGACTTTTTTGAGGAAAAGCCTTAAAGTAAAACAGCGCAGGCTTAGGTAACTGTGTCTTTTCTATTGTTGTTATCCATAGGGTCGGGAGTATATTTGCTTCGCCGGAGTAAATCATTTGACTTGGTCGAAGGTATTGAAAAAGACTAAAGACATGCATTAGATGCTTTTGCTGAGAATTCAGTATTAATGAAATGGATAAAATTAATTTGGTACTCTGTATTATAATAAAATATTGAGTTAATATTCCGTATTTTTTATAATATTAAAAATGACGCTCTTAATTTTTAGAAAACATTTTTTTGATACCTTGTCTCTTTTTAGAGATGTAAAATGATGATTTTGCCTTTATTAATGGGAGAGAGAAAGAAAAAAAAGGAACGAGATATTTTCTAACCAAAACGATGTTTTATTACAAGAATAACAATTTTATTATAATGGTTTATTGAAATTGATTTTCAGGTCAAAAAAATGAGAGAATATTAATAAGGGTAAAATTATCATTTTACGTCTCCAAAAAGAGGTTCAAAGTACCAAAAAAATATTTTTTAACTGTTGAGAGTATCATTTTAAAATCATGAAAAACACAGAGTACTAACTCAATGTTTTGCTATAATACAGGGTATCAATTGATTTTATCCCTTTATGAAATTTAAAGTTGAAAAAAATTTCGGTAATTAAAACATTAAGGTAAGTATTCTTTATCTTCACTTTGATTTTAAAAATATTTGAAATAAAAATTAAGATAAAAGTACTTACCAACATTTTAAATATTGAAATTTTCTGCTTTAAAAATTTCGTGATTATTGTATTCTCATAAATAAGAGTAAGTAATAATTAATGTCTTGACCTCTTACTCAAAATCTTAGAGTAACTCAACTGATTGAATCCAGTAAGAGTTTCCTTTCGACTCCACCACAACAAAAGAAAAGGTAAATAGTCATTATAATA